AGCAGTCTGAGCTGTCACTTCTGCTGAACTCATGATGATTTCATCTTAACGAGGAAACGCTTGCAGCACGCTTTGGTGTGCTTGCATTCATTCTTAAAATGAGTTAGATTAGAGTAGAGGTGTTCATTCCTGTTCCTGTAGATCTACTGTACCTGTACTGATCCAAGTGTTCCTGAAGACCTTCAGTAGCTGGTTCTGGTGCTGGCGCTAGACTTTGTGGAGGGTTAGATCTCCAGAAGCAGAACTGAGTATTTGAAGAAGGAAACCATCCATTGGTCTAAAGGCTCCTGTCCAGCACAGGCCAAAGTCTGCAAACATGCAGAGGATTGTTGATATGGTTGTTTTGTGGTGCAGGGCAGATCTCGGTGGAGGGCTTCGGCAGATATCTGAGCGGAGAAGAGAACAGTATCATCCCTCCAGAGAAGCTGGACCAGAGTGAAGACATGACGCTGCCGCTCTCGCATTACTTCATCAACTCCTCGCACAACACCTACCTCACAGGTCAGCCAATCAGACGCCTCGCACAACACCTACCTCACAGGTCAGCCAATCAGACGCCTCGCACAACACCTACCTCACAGGTCAGCCAATCAGACGCCTCGCACAACACCTACCTCACAGGTCACGATCACTTGTCTGAACAGATGGTTTAGGGTTTTAGCCATCTTCGAATGAAGATGGAGTGACAAAAACCTCTTTGCAGTTTTTTTTTGCACTTACATGCATGTAGAATTATGATATTAATGTCAGTATCATTTGAGTACTTCACATAGACTCAGTTTCAGCACTTCCAATCAATATACTTTATTTTGCAATAAAACTCAAGATGTCTCACTAATGCATTTTTAGATTCAGTTAGATGAAGTTCTGCCAATGATCTAATTCAGACAGGAAGTTCATAATCACTCAGAAGACCGAAATGAATGGGATTTCTGCAACATAAACCCCTCGACTGATTCTGCACTTTCGTTAAAGACTTTGCATTGCATTTCCTCTCAGCTGGGGTGCATTATTGTGGGTGAAATGGTATAAAAATTGCACAATTTACATGCCACATTACAAATGCAAAATAAACAGACTAATCAACTTTTGACAAGGAAGAGAAACACTATATTTTAATGATCAAACTTGATCAAATCAGATGAAACATGAGCATGTTGTGCAACACCGTCCTCCTGCAATGCCATCAAAGAAAGTACATTAGATACGAGTGAGAGGTTTGTGATGGAGTCTCCACCTGATGTCCAGCGTTTGTCCGTGCTCTGTTGTTTTCTGCAGCGGGTCAGCTGGCGGGAAACTCGTCTGTGGAGATGTACCGGCAGGTTCTGCTCTCCGGCTGTCGCTGTATAGAGCTGGACTGCTGGAAGGGACGCACCGCCGACGAGGAGCCCATCATTACACACGGCTTCACCATGACCTCAGAGATCTGCTTCAAGGTAAATGCATTTATCTCCTTGTTAGGTGCGGACTTGGGATTTGAGCAGGATGAGATGGTTTTGACAGGGATGTGGAGAAACAGAACCAGCGCTGAGATTTATTAGAACCTTCAGACGGCATGAGCTTCAGGAACTGTTTGGCAGAACGTGAAGGATTATAAGGAAATGGCATGAGAGAGGCAGAGAGAATATATATACGATTGAGACATATTAAAAAACATATTTGAATGGGTTAGAATAAGTTCTTAGGGTTAGCAGATGTGGTGGCATAATTTAGTGTGTACACAATCTGAATTCTGTTGATGAAGAATAGTGATCCAGTGTACCAGAAAACATTTATCTGGTGTATGAGGAGACAGATGTCTCATCGTTCTCTGTGGAAGCACAAGAATGATCGAATAAACAGAAAAAAGACAGTGGTCTTCAACGAGCCGAAGAAAGCTCACGTCACACCTCTCTTCATCGGCTTGCACTGGCTGCCGATAGCTGCTCGCATCAAATTCAAGCTACTGATGTTTGCCTACAAGACAACCACTGGCGCTGCACCAATATACCTAAACTCACTACAGACCTTAGTGAACAACGCCTCCCACAGAGGCACAAAATCACTCTCGCTAACCTCGTCTGTGGAGATGTACCGGCAGGTTCTGCTCTCCGGCTGTCGCTGTATAGAGCTGGACTGCTGGAAGGGACGCACCGCCGACGAGGAGCCCATCATTACACACGGCTTCACCATGACCTCAGAGATCTGCTTCAAGGTAAATGAATTTATCTCCTTGTTAGGTGCGGACTTGGGATTTGAGCAGGATGAGATGGTTTTGACAGGGATGTGGAGAAACAGAACCAGCGCTGAGATTTATTAGAACCTTCAGACGGCATGAGCTTCAGGAACTGTTTGGCAGAACGTGAAGGATTATAAGGAAATGGCATGAGAGAGGCAGAGAGAATATATATACGATTGAGACATATTAAAAAACATATTTGAATGGGTTAGAATAAGTTCTTAGGGTTAGCAGATGTGGTGGTATAATTTAGTGTGTACACAATCTGAATTCTGTTGATGAAGAATAGTGATCCAGTGTACCAGAAAACATTTATCTGGTGTATGAGGAGACAGACTTGATGTCTCATCGTTCTCTGTGGAAGCACAAGAATGATCGAATAAACAGAAAAAAGACAGTGGTCTTCAACGAGCCGAAGAAAGCTCACGTCACACCTCTCTTCATCGGCTTGCACTGGCTGCCGATAGCTGCTCGCATCAAATTCAAGCTACTGATGTTTGCCTACAAGACAACCACTGGCGCTGCACCAATATACCTAAACTCACTACAGACCTTAGTGAACAACGCCTCCCACAGAGGCACAAAATCACTCTCGCTAACCTTTTCCTGGACTGTCCCCAGCTGCTGGAACAGCCTCCCGATCTCAATCCCAGCAGCTGAGTCTTTAGCCATTTTCAAAAAACATCTAAAGACACATCTTTTTCACCAGCACCTGACCAATTAATACTAGCACTTACCTATTCTATTCTATTCTATTGTGTTCTGTTCTATTCAGTCTAATTTATTTATATATATATATGTGCTAGACTAACTGAGACTTGTCACAGCACATGTATACTGTTGCTCTCTCATTGGTCTGATTGCTTCTACTTTGTAAGTCGCTTTGGATAAAAGCGTCTGCTAAATGGCTAAATGTAAATGTAAAAAAAAAACATCCATTGCACACCTAATGTTTACTAATTGTTTAAAATCATGACTGTCCCTCAGTTGTGGTGTCATTTCCATGCATGTAAACTAATGGATGGCTTTTCAGGAGGTGATCGAGGCCATCGCAGAGAGCGCCTTCAAGACGTCTCCGTTCCCAGTCATCCTGTCCTTTGAGAACCATGTGGACTCGTACGTGTCAAAGCTCTTTTTCACATTTTTTTCTTGGAGCAGCATATTGTATTGATAGAATGTTTCATGGCAAAACATGTAATGTAATGGCAGCACTGGAGTACTGCATCTGTCGCAGCGTCGCTAGATTGCTCAGTGTGTCTCACGTTCTTACTGTGTCTCAGTCCCAAACAGCAGGCGAAGATGGCCGAGTATTGCCGATCAATATTTGGAGACGCATTGCTCACAGACCCACTGGAGAAATACACCGTGAGTGAAAAACAGATCACACACTCACTCACTCACCCACTCACTCACTCACTCACACACTCACACACTCACACACACACACTCACACACTCACACACTCACACACACACACACACACTGACACACACACACACTCACTCACACACACTCTATAGTCTGATTAGTCACAGTTCTTCTGTCATGTCAATGTCGACCCATCCAGCACTTGAAGTGTTGTTTCCTCGCGTGCATCTTCTCCATGAGCCGGTGAACTGGAGTCATATGAAGGCCAATTTGTAACTGAAAAAAGCACAAATGTCAGGGCATGTCAAAACTTCTCCAGGCCCCCAAAACACCCTCAGACCCCAGAGCGTTAACACCTGGATCTCTGCTGGGCTTTGTGTGCTCAGGGAAACACATAAGCGGCGTTCTTACAGGTTTTTGAAGAGTGTGCGTGTAAACACAAATAGCACTTTGGTGTTGTTAGAGACTGCACTTGCGGTCGGAGGCATAATAAGACCACGGCGACAGGACATTCCAGTGGAGGTGAATTTATTGTACAGACATTGTAGATCCCACAGCAAAACCAAATACGCATAAATCGAGTGTGCCATGAAATACGTAATGTAATGCGTGTTGTAAAGATTGCGAGTAAAAACAAAAGAAAAAGAAAAGCTTACAGCTGCATGAGTCGTGACGGTCACGTTAGTCTGATGCGACCAAACTCTCTTTGTGATTTTAAAACGTAAGACAGTACCCAGATCTGAAGACTACAGTAAGATTTAACTTCTACTGTTAATAAGATTGTGGTAGGCTACTATTAGATGGATAGCCTAAATGTCCTAATTCAGATGGGCTACCTGTTTTTGTTTTTTTATGGTATATCAAAAAGTGTATATTTTTTAAATGTGATTGTTGGTACATTTTACCAGTTTTTGCCATACTTTCGAAACAAAACTTAAAATAGAAAAAATATGCAATGTGAAAATAATTGAAGACAAAATGTGTTTTACTGAGAAAAAAAACAGATTTGTTTTTAAAAAAGCCTTTTTCCAAAAGGTACATCTGGAAAAAGGAGGGTCGTCTTATATTCGGGCCAGTACAGTATTTACAAGTCTCTTTGTTGGTAGTGATGTGTCGTTTGTGAACGAGCTGGCTCTAAGAGCCGATTCTTTGTAGCGATCGAGAAGAGCCGACTCCCGTCAGGGAGAGCCGAACCTTCAGCCGGAGCCTTCTATTTTAGCCCAATTTAGCAGTTGTTTTTAAGCAATTTTTAATTCCGTGTTTTCATAAAAGCCTTATTTTTATACATTTTTCATTACAAAAAAAATAGTAAAAATACACATGCGGCTAATCACATGGTAGGACGGGACAGACTAGGATCATACCGTTATGTGAAAGAAGGACGGGGGACTCGCGCTCTGAAGACAGCGAGTGTAGTGGTACAGGCCAGGTACACAGAGCAACAGAGAGACGGGGAGTTAAGGTAATGGTAGGAAGACACTGCATTGTTGCAACATCAATCCCTCAAGAGAGAGTCTTCTCAAAAACAGGACAAATAATCACAGAGAGGAGAAATCGCATCAGCACATCCAAGCTGAGGCATCTGATGTGTCTGAATGCCAACCTACACTAAAGACTAAAGTGTCTTAATGTTAAGACTTTTGCCTTTATTTATTTGTTTGCTGTGGTTCTGTGTTCAATTGTTCAATTAAAGTTTTATTAAAATGTTAAATAGTAGTAACTATATTTTAAAAGAATGCTTAAAAATATGGCTTTTATGAAAACACTGATTGCTAACCAACACTCAAACCATTCACAACTGCTAAATTGTGCTAAAATAGAAGGCTCCGAGTGATACTAAATAAAGAGCCATTTGGCAGCCGAGCCAAAAGAGCCGAACTTCCCATCACTATTTGTTGGACCATAGTCGCAAAAACAGTTGAGGTTAACAAACTTTTTTAGCACAATTCGGGGTTGCTCCGTGACAGGTGTCATAAAAAGCCTCTCACAGAATTATTTTTTTTTATTAGTGCTTTATTTCTGTCACAATTTCTTCAAGTTATAAAACAGAACTTTATTTTGGTGGGTTGTAGTGAAGAGCTTTGAGTTTCCTCAAATGAAATGCTGGTGAAGTGATGATGGTGATGGTGATGAAGTTCATGCAGTGAGGTGGAGATGAGTGTCACCTGTGTTTCAGTGTGTAGTAGTGCAACACACACTGCACGGCAGTTTAATATTCACAGACACTGGCATACTGGCTTTTAAATTCAGTTGCAAAGCTCTACTTTTAATTTATTGATCCAAATATTGCCAAATTCTAAGTTATACAGTAAATCCCATTTTTAGGACTTCATTCCATCTGCATTTTCTGCACCATACTGTTAGCTCTTGTGGTGATTCTGAAATGTTTTATGGAAACAGCAGCTTGAACACTCTGCTAAACACTGAAAAAACGGGATGGACATGAGGGGTCAGTGATGATTTTTCCTCTGCTCTTCCTTTAAAAACTATAACATCAATTGTTTTGTCTCTGAAATCATTAATGATCATTTCCCATGTTTTCTTCCTTGTGATTTCTCTCGTCATACATTATTAATGCTGTTAAGCACAACATCCCTCACCAGTCACTTACAAACCCCAACATTTGTGCTTTTTTCAATCCGCAGAAGAGTTTTTGTTTGTTCTCACCTATAAAATGATCTTTTGAGACATGTCAGTCACTGCCCAGTTAGTGACACATTTTGAGTTTTTTGGGTCTTTGTTTTGCAGTTGGAGGCCGGTGTTCCTCTGCCCAGCCCCGTGGACCTGATGGGCAAAATCCTCATCAAGAACAAGAAGAATTCCCACAAAGCCGACGGCAGCACCAAGAAGAAGCTCTCCGAGCAAACGTCCATCACCTGCAGTGATACGTCCAGTCTGTGCGAGCCCTCGTCTCCCAGCGCAGGTTAGGGTTCGGACCTCCTCTGCTGTCATCAGTGTGACCAGAGCGCTAATGCTGCTGACCTGCTAACATTCACGAGTGTGTTTCTCCTTTAGGACGCTTCTGATCCCAGATCCTTCACATGTGTGTTTGAGATCCTTTTCATCAGCTAATAAAGCTGCTATATTGCCGTCTGTAAGCGCTGTAGGATTTGTAAACTGAAGTCAGGTTTCTCCGGCTACTGTTTCTGACGCTGGTCAGATTGTGTTCGGCCTCTCGCTGCCCCCTGCTGACCAACCAGCTTCAGTGCAAACACTGGCTCCTCACACGAGTGCTGTTTTGTTTGTCTGTTTGTCTTGTCTTTCCCGCTGAGGAGCTTTTTTAATTTTTGAGTTTGAGACCAAGTCACTGCCCTACAATTGTTTTTTTTTTGATAATCCAGTTCATTCATATGTACATCACAGCAGTCGTGTTTCATTCTTTTAATATATATATTATTATATATATGTTCTGTAACAGGATCCACACATCAGGAGACGCCAGACAGCGCTCACGCAGACGGGAACGAGAGAGGCCAAAGGAGGTTGCAGGGAATGAAGTCCATTGATAAAACGACTGGGTCACTATTAATTAACGCTTGTCTGGCCGATGACAAAGGTTTGTGGTTGAACGTGAAGCGGGTAAAATGAGCTGCGCTCCTAAGACTGTTTAGTGATGTCGGTCTGTCGCGTGTTAATCAGGGGAAGCAGACGCAGAGAGTGATGCGGAGGAAGATAACGATGAAAGTAAGAAGTCCATGGATGAGGTGAGTGAACTCATCTGACTGGCTCTCATGTGTTTCATGGGTTACAGTTCTTCCTGCAGGAGCCGTGTGACGAATGATTGGTTAAATCTGTTTATTCCAACGATTGTTGGGACCTGAAATACAAAACTATTTTTAGTTGTCAATTTACTCTCCCTAATGTTGTTCAAACCTGTATGACTTTATTCTGTGGAGCAACAAGCCGAAAGGCATGATCCCACTTTCTTCTAAATATCTTTTTGTGTTTCACAGAAGAAATTATGTCATGCAGATTTCATTTTCCTGAGAATTAAACACACATTTGTCATGTGATGTGTATTATCAAGTCAAGTCACCCTTATTTATAATGCTTTTGTGTGTGTTAGTGTGAGTGTGTGTGTGTGTGAGAGAGAGAGTGTGTGTGTGTGTGAGAGAGAGAGAGTGTGTGTGTGTGTGTGTGTGTGTGTG